CCTTCCGGTAATGAGAACAACATCTAATCTTGTTCTCCATCGCGAAGGAGGTATCCCAACTGGAAAAATCATTCTGGAAGGGAACCGCTTACGGTCTTCGACTCGGCTGCACACACTAGACAACCGCCACCCGCTCAGGACTCGTGCCGCCGTGTGTCCAAACGATGGAACACGGAAGTACAAGAAGTCTGCTCGGGTACCCAAAAATCCGGAGATCCAGATGTCACGAGTACAGCGGGCCTACCGACAACTCCTGGACGCGGAAGACACCGAGCCTCTGCCGCCACCGTGCTATTTTTCGAGCTTCGGCCCAAGAATAGAGGAGGAGGAAAAGGTTACTCGGTTCCTTGGAGATGTACTAGCATCGGATATTTGTGCCTATCCGGATGGATCGTCGGAGGGCCATGGTCGCTCAGCATGGGGTTTCGTCTTGAAGAGGGATGGAAAGACTCTATTGAAGGGATACGGCATCAAGCATGGTGGTGAAGTGCTTGATGCGGAAATTGTAGGGGCAAAAAAGGCCCTGGAAGCTGCGCTGGGATTGTTGGAGAGGGAGAACAGTGGAATTGACAGCAGGCGGCGGATCAACGTGTTGTCGGATAGTCAGTCTCCAGTGAAGGCACTGCTGACGGGAACTGCCACAACAAGCCTAGATGACGTGCGACAATTTAGAGCGTTATCAGAAAAGGCTCGAGTCTCGGTTCAGTGGATACCAGCCCACTCCGGGATACAGGGAAACGAAGAGGCCGATAGAGCTGCACGCTCCGGCCTCCGACAACTGCCAAGTAAAGAAAGCCAGCCTGGCTCCGTCAAGTTGGTGTACGTTCGTCGGCTCATGGACCGGAACAGGCAAACGCTTCTTGACGACTGGTGGAAAGAAGCATGTCCACATAGATATCGTAATCTGGGCCTTCTCATGCGACGAAGCAAGCCACGCGAGCTGGCACTTTCTCGGCGGCTACTTCGTAAACTGATTTCAGCTCTTACGGGACACGGAAACTTCGCTGCATACCATCGTCGTTTCAATAACTTCGCCGCTTCAATGGAGTGTGCGTGTGGGGAGGAAACATCGCCTCTCCACTTCATTCACTGTCGACTGCACGCACGCTAAACGCGCCGACTTCGAGGGACAACGTTACATCACGACTTTGTCCAAAAGCTTCTCGGGCCTAGGTGCCTTGAGAATCTTACATATTTTGTGCAGGAAACCGGCTGCTTCAGAGGCCAACCTGCGAGTCCGTCTCCAGGTCTCAGCGGAGAGGACATTAATTAGGTCATAGCACGAAGCATGGCAGGAAGGAAAACGAGACGAGAAGTGTCGCTTTCCCACTTCAAATTGGAGTATTGCATTTGTAATTTTTTGTTGAATGGAATTTTGGGTGTTTTTATTTTTATTTTTAACTAGCTACTGGTTGTGTAGTGGTTCACTCGGTGAGACCGAGTTGGGCATGTGGGAAGCATGATCTCGGCCGTGTACACCGGTCCTTGACTCCTAGGAGATATGAAGCTTAGCTTAGGACCATAAGATCAAAAAAAACCCCCCTTCATCAATTACTTCCATTAAACATCACCTGACTTATCTCTGTACTCCATAATTTCAACAAGTTGGATATATCGCACAATGAAATTTGCGCAATATTTATGGAACGAAAATAGAAGTTGACTAAAAGAGCGTCATGTTTGGATTGTTAAAGTTATGAGCTTGAGCGAAGATGGAGATTAGAGCAGAATCAGTGTTGGCGGTCAGACCTATACGGTAAGCTGTTTTGTTAATCGCCTATCACACTTCCAAGTGTATGTCAGCATATGTCAATCAAATAGACTCAGTCAGGATATTTGAGAAAATGAGTTCTTTTGCGTGTCCCTCAAGCTATGTCTCATCTCTATCTATATACATTACATCCCCCAAACTTCGATCTCACCCTTTGTCCTTGATCTAGACTTGTTGTGTTATCCATGTAACTTACCATGGTACATGCTTTAGGTCGCGTCATAGCATATGCACGTGACTGTGGAACTAAACCGTAGGGTGTTTAGTGTGTAATGCATGTGTGATGCATGTGTGAGTATACTGGACCAAACTAGAACTAGATGGAATAGAGATAACGGAATCAGCGAGAGACTGATGGACTGAGAGAGAACGAGCTGGTCATTTCTCGTAGGAGAGAAATGATATCATAAGGGAATGTTCTAGCACTAGGCTGTGAACAACACAGTAAGTCTGGAGCAAGATATAAGGAGGTCTCAACCTCCGTCCATTCATTTGTAACTAAGTTTCCTTTATACGAGAATATAGAGTCAAGTCTTACATATCACGAGAACACACGCGACAGCGACTATAGAGACCTACTGTGAGCATAACTTCCCCAAGAGTATCCATCGTCCTGCTCCCATATAGCCTAGTTAATATAACAAGACTACTTCACTTTTGAATTCTTTGAAAATACCGTCTCCCTTCCCGACTTTCCACTAACTCCGAAACAAAACTCAAGTGAATATCGCCCTACAAATTCATCAGAACAAATAATTATAAATTCACTGAAATTCAACCCAAACAAAGTAAATTCTGCTCAACAGCATAAAAATGAGATGTTGTAGGGAAATAAATATCGGACATATAGAAATATAGAGAAGTGATTAAGGGCGTTTACTGGTGTTACTCTACAATGTTAATATAAATGAATATTTTATTGTCATAGCTAGATAGCTGAATACAATATGATTCAAAAAAAAATAAAAACAATCCGCTGGAATGCTAGTGTGAAAAAAATACCAATGCGCATTTAACTTTCAGCGAGGGGTGTATTTTATTTAGTTCATTATCCTGATTTGGCGCCTTGAGGCCCATGCAGGTTTTATCGGAAGATATTTGCTTTAAGTAGGATGCCTCAATTTGACGTTAAGAACACTCACTCAGATTTCATTTGCAGAAACCACTCGAGGTTATCCCTTACGGCGTATAACCTCTTCCGTGAATACCAACCACAGGGAAAATCGTGAAAACCTATGGCTATCCAAGTGTACATTTATCATCCCAAAAGTGCAACATCACCGCGAGAGAGTGTGTGATGTGTGGGTTTTGTTGAATTCGAACCAGCTTTCTCCTGTCTTGAATGGGGTAGGAGTTCAAGGTGCCCGGTATCTACTTGGGAGAACGGCCCGAATGGTATACCACTGCACCATCCAACCCTGATGGATGTATTATTGACAATCATATCCGATGGTGAATTTGATATTTTAATTAGCAAGACTTATAAATAAGTTACTCTTGGCATTCCAGGGTATATCATATTTCAACACGAATTACAGATACAAGAGCGGGAAGTTTGCGCTACCAGTATAGGTGTAAGCGACGCAGAGCCTAAGCTACTCCACAAACGATTCCGGCGTCATCTAAGCAAAGAAAACCACCAATTAGCTCCTTGTGACCATACTACACAGCCTCTCAAACATCCATCAGGTAGCCTGCATTGCTACAATATTATCCATTCCAACTCCTTTAATAGACGCAAGATCGTGTCGTGAACCTAGACGAAATGGAGGGTCCGTACGTCCACAATACTCTGTGTTTCCATTTCCAACACCATTCATTCTTCTCGAGAACTATCGCCATGGATATCATTTGTCCTTTGGACAACTTTGGGAGATTTCTCTGGAATGTGGCTTAAAAGAATCGTAATCGAGGCGATTACTTCTAGGCTGCGGGAAGCTACCAAATCCATCAGCATGGTAGAAATCGAGGCCAACTATTCCGACATAAATAATGGATCAGTTGTCCATCAAAGTTTATCTTCTCGAACTACGGAAACAAAAAATCAAAGGTGGGCGCTGGGACTACTAAGTCGGACCAATGTTGTTGAAATGTATTCGCATGTATTCGCAAGATTTCAAACAGCTCTTCTTAAACACTAGCTTAGCCTAGTGTAGTGGCGGAAGAGTCTGATTGGACCAAATTCTTCATGAGGAAACCAATTTTATAACACGTTTATCACGAGAGATTTTGGAGCCTTGAACAGCGTCGTCAGTTTCTCCAGCAGTAATCGGTACATGAATGCAATTTACAATTTCAACTAAACAAGGAAACAAAAATGATGTAAATGATGTACATGATGGCGACTGGCTGTTGATATTGTGGCAATCTATAGCTTTTCCATAGTAATCAAAGATTTCATGTCAAGACGAATACGTACTAGATCATCGAGAAAATAGAGAAAATAGAGAAAATAGAGAAAATAGAGAAAATAGAGAAAATAGAGAAAATAGAGAAAATCATCAAGCTCAATCTGCAATTCTTACCACGCCTCGTCGCTCCTTAACAAAGTGGATCAAATGAAAAACTCTTAGATTGACTCAGCTGTCTATCGACTAGCGTCCGTTATCCAATAAAAATTGCCACCTTGACACAGGGCTCAGTTTGTGTTGAATACATGCTAGAAATACTGCATTTTTTTATGAGGAAGAATTGTTAGGAGTGAGGTGCTTTCACTAAAACATCTTAAAAACGGAGTACTTATCAATTAGCTTCACTATGCAAGAAACTTCATAATATTAGAAGCTTTCACTGTCATCCAGCTGTAATTTGTGTGGCAAGTACAGTTGGCTTGAAAAATGTGGATTCCCAATAAAGTAGTGTCCACCGACAATGCCCCACATCATATATATGGGCCCTTGAAAAGAGGCCAAAAACTTTCATGTCAAAAATGGATGAGAATCAAAATTAGTTCCTTGTTGCGGCTATTAAGAGCTAGGCATGACGTTAGGCTTGTTCAAGTCGAAAAATGGTTCTTTTGTACAAAATTTCTAGATGAAAGTCAACCAGGATCTAGATACGACCTAGGTGGCGGGATTATATTACTTGAAGACTTTGAAATTTCCAAAGGTGTAGTCCTCACATGTCATGCCCTATAAAATACATGTGAAGAGTTGATGAGCACTTGGGTCTTTCCTTGTGCTAGTATCTAGATTGAATCTAGATTGAATCTACGCATATATAAACTCTCATGTACACATTATTCAGGAATACAGCATCAACCTCTCTTCTCACCCAAATCGATACTTTCTATAATCTTATTCGAACATCATCTCTCAAGCAAATTTTCACTTTATCAATCTTACCTTACATTATGTATGTTTTTCTTGACTTTAGTATCTCCTGACTTCAATATGGCGCAGTTTGACTAACAGTGTAGCAGCCGAACAATTTATCAACAATTTATCGACAACTCGTAAACATGGGATCATCACTCTCAAATTTCTCGGCCAACTCGTACCTTAACGAGCATGCTTGCTCGGGTCGTAACCTTACCTGGCAATATATTCATCAAGGTCATTTACCTTTGCTGGACCACCATAACTATAGCCAGCACTCGTTTCCGAAGATGACCTTGTACAATTATTCGGCCTGTCCAGATGCGACAAGAATTCTTCGAGCCCATGGCTGCTGGGACGGTAGTTGCCAGCCAAATCGATGGGACGAAGAGTTCAATCGATATGAATGGGATAACTGGCATGGACTTGGCAGTCCATATGTCAGGCTACATGGGGAGAAAGGGGCTGGTAAGGAGGATCTGTGGTGGCGAAATATCTCTCGCCGACCTCATTTGAATAGAGTGTCAGCATATATCAGCGGAGGAAGGCTTTACAACCTTCTTGTTGGTGTAGACAAGAGCAGAATGAGCAAAAAGCCACGAGAAGGGCTTGGAAGTGGAACGGAAATTAAAGATTTCAAAATGAAAATTTCCAGTGCCAATTCTGATAAAGACAAGAACACGGGGAAGAAAGCTAATAAGCGAATAAAAATACGGAGTATTAGCGACATGACCTGGCACGAAAGTCTTCAGAATGCAGAAATCGAGGGCCAATCGTCGGAAAAGCGGAATGATGGTCTTACACATTCCAGTCCATCGGCAACCGACTCTTTGCGGCAGATCAGCGTTCCGACTTCTCAAGTCCTTGCTTCTGATGTCAACTCAGCTGATCATAAAAGTCCTCAGTATATTACAGTAAAAGTGAGTGATGTCGCAATATTCGAACCATTTACCACGTTACAACTGAAGACTAATGTGAAAAAGATCAAAAGTACGAAAACGAGACTGTAGGCGCTGAATATCTAGGGGTAGAGGATCTCTCAAGGGGCAAAGCAAAATGGCTATTTATCTGAGAGAGTCGATCTTCAAGGAATTAATAAGTTAAAAGTGACTGGAAAAAAGGGTTGGTAATGCAAATGACTTAAGAACATGACACACTGACCAAAATTGATAGGAGAAAATATATGACGATGTTTTTGGATAATCTCAGTTTTAATACCAAAACTGTAATCAATTGGTGTTGGTATGACAAAGGTCATACACTAAAAGTCTATCAGTTCACTTAAAGTTATGAGAATATTTCACGGATCCGTAATTAGAATTTTAATACTAATTTTAATTCGTGATGAGATGAAGGGGTAGTTCATTAAAACCATCAAATTGAGAATAGCTTCCCCTAATATAATTAGTCGTGTAAAAAGTCATGTAAGGATATGCAAGAGAGTCATGAAGAGAAGGACAAGAACACAGCCATTAATGCGAAGATATTGGCAAGAATCGATTACGATTAATTCCGGTTGGTAAAGGCTTCTACTCTTGTATATAATAGTTCGGCGTGAGAGAGATTTACTCCTCACGCAACGTCTTCTTTATTTACCCTTTACAATACATTTGTTCACCCATCTCTTCTTCGGGAAGACCATATATCCATTGCCCAGTTCTTCATCAGCAAGACCCACGTGTAACATCTACTGCAACTAGTTGCCCATTCATCTCTTCCAAGAGAAGACCTGTCATCCCTTTGACCCATTTATAATCTTCACTTACCACCTAGATATTCACTAGGCTATACAACGCACCCCGTGGAACACTGTCAAACCCTCATCCCTGAGAGAATACTTGTGTAAGTATTTCGAACTATCGTTCAGAAGAAATGCGCATGAATGGTTCAATTGTTATCTAGTTTACAATGATGCTACAGGATATTAACTATGTTTCATTCGGATAATACTTTATCCGAATGCCGAAATCCACAACGAAGGAATTCGTTTGCATGTAAACCAAGCTAGAGATTGTTGTATGTGTGTTTGTGTTTATTGTGCTACTTGAGTCTGTGACTATCTAGCACATTGGGCTCCTCTCTGACCCAGGCCACACCTTGTACAGTGCTCCTATCCTCTTTTGTTACTTGAAAGATCATTGATATATTCCCCTTGATGAATAGCCATTCAGCTCAGTATTTACCCGTGGAATTCAGCCACCTTTTCCACGGAACCTTCTACCCAAAAAAAATAAAAATGGTAGCAATGGAAACTGCGTGCGCGGGAAAAAGTCTCAAAAAACCTGCAGCCCCAGCCAGGCGAGGCCTAGACACCGGGACCACATGAGGTGCGCATATTCATCTATATCTCCCTTCTTTGTAACAGTCGAGGCCGACTTGATCCAATCCACCATCTCCGTATCGGGTGCTGGGTACGCTCCGGAAACTCATCGGATGGCTTTTCCTCCGGTATCAAGGTTTGGTGATGAGTAGAGCTCCGACCCTACCATCTGATCTGATCGTGGTTAGCTTCATGATAATGGTGATAGGGGAATGTGTTGAGAGATGAAGACGATACAGACCGCGAAAGCGATTGGGAATCCTCTTCGAAGTGAGGACTTTGTTACTCAATCTCGGCTCTGCAGACTCTACAGTGAGAGCTGGAGGCTCGTAGGGGACACCGCTGACAGGTGTTGAGAATAGTCCCCCAAAGGACAGATGTTGGAACATCCACTAGTGTGCAGAACCCCCTTATTCATGTGTATAGAAGAAGGTCCTGTCACGTAGATAAACTAAAGCAATTCATACAACAGGAAATTCAAACAATCTCCATATTATTTACACACTTGAGAATACTAGGGAATATCCTCAAGTTCGTCCATTGATCCAAGTCCTAAGAGTATAACTCACGAACTTTACTTCTCTTAAAGCCATATCTACCTCCTTCCATACCTTTATCCTAACGGTACGTCATTCTAGCTCAGCATAGCCTTTCAATAGAGATGCCATTCCAACAACTGGAAAAATTACTGAATTTTTGATAGAAACCAGTATGTTTTATGTCAAGATATATGCTATTATGATAATGTAATCCACCTAATATTTTTGTATGGTATTTATATCTACATTAAAATCCATGCTATTATAAATATATGATGAAGGCCAGTTACTCAGCCTTAAGGTTAGGAGTTAGTCTTGGTAAAAAGTCATTCGCCAGTGTCCATTTTAAATAAATTCTATCTGTCAAATTGTCTTCAAAGAATAATGAGGATAATCAATAATCCCACTTGTACAGTACATTTCATCGATATTTAAGCCTGGTCGAATATAAATTTGTGATTTATTTTTAGAAATTCAACTTTAAATAAAAACCTAGAGATGCAAACTTTCAAAGTAAGCTTTAGTGATAAAGTTTGCTTTATATTCTGGATATATATCGCTTTCAACCGAATACAAAATTCGGTAAAACGCGGGAAAATAGTTGGTCTTTTTACCCTACCAAGATTCACGTACACTCAAACAATCTGGCATGTTTACATGTATGAATGCCGTATCAGGCAAATACCAAATACCCAATACCCAAGAGGCATGATACGGGTGTGTGATCCCTGAAGACTCACCACTACCTATCCATCCAGCTTTGTAGACCGAGTAATTGCATGAAAGTAGAGATAAATAAAATTGCCCACAAAAAACATGCCCTACGCCTTGCCCACTTTCATATCAAATAGGTTAAAGATTCCGGTTCCTAGAGATGGATTAACCCTGTCGGCGTAAAAATTGTCTTTCTTAACATATCTTTACGATTATATACCAAAAGAATTTCTTCCATCCTCTTCCTGCCAACATATTTCGTCTATTTAATGGTATTTCATGTGTAGATATTCCCCCAGCCTGCTCAGGTACTAGCCGGTTCAGAGCTATAGTCGTGTATTTCTGTTCACCCCTTGGGCCTAGGATGTCTCTCAGGGTCAATTTGTCTGACTGCTCGTTCCCGATAATTCTAGAATGACCTGGTGCCTAACGAACTTCAACTGATAGAAGCTTATTTACCTGAATCGTAGATTTGTCAATCACGTACTTAGAATATCTAGTTGGGCCGTTTTGCAGATCCCACGCAGGGTTAGGACTGTCTGGAAGTACCTTAATTGTGAAAAGATCGATATGTGAAAGTACTTCAATGAATACTAAGAATAGGAAGCTAAAAAGTTTAAATAAGGCTATGAAAGGCGGGGGACCTGCCCCAAATTATATACAACGAATGTGGGTTACATGATGGAATTGGTGTTGTGCTGGTGATGGCCAGGATTAAGGTGCACAAGGGTAATGGACTTTTTTTTTGCATCAGATTTTAATTGGGTATGCAGCTATCTAGCTATCACACAATATCAAAGAAAAGTACAGAATAAATGATTCATCGTAAGGAAGAGCACTTGTGCCTCGGATTTCATTTGCAAGTACCAATGCGAAGTTATGGTGGCTTTTTCTTCACCCCAAGTCATCCCTCATCCGTGAATACCCACACAAGGGAACGTCTCAAAAACCCTGAGTTATCCAGACATGCCTCCATCATCTTTCAAATTTTCTCCGCGCGATATCTGATCTGAGGTGTCTCTTTCCCAAGTGGAGTCGGTGCCCAGGCTACTCAGACTATACCGGTGAACACCTTCCACATCGTTTGCTTGTTTTTATAGTGTAAGCTGCACTCTCGCAAGCGAAGTCTTGGCGCGCAGAAAGCCTAATTTGTAAAACTCCTTGCCAAAACTCGGAATTTCACGACCTTTGGAGGTATTTTCTTTTTTCGCATCATCTTGTCAAATTTTCCTGAATCCTCTCAAGTGCATCCAAAGAACTGTCTCCCATATTTGTGCGCCATGCTTTGCTTCCTCCGGCGGGTGTAAATATCGGCGTGGGCGTGTATTTAGTGATCAAATGAGGCCAGAGAAGGTCGAAGAGTGGTGTAATCATTGTGATGAGGATGTACTTGGTCGTACTTGTAGGCTTGATGAGACTTAGGTAGGAGTCAAACTCGTTGGGAGCGCAAAAACGACGTGGAGGAGTAATTTGGGTTTTTGCCTCGTGGGCCAACTTCTTTGATATTGCAAAATTTGACTGAACTTGGCTCTGGGAGTCTTAATTTGGTTAGGGCTGAGGAAACAGGATTTGGATTTGTTCTCTAGATCTAACAATTTTGGTTTTTAGACAACTTTCTTATTTCTAATTCGCTATTTTGATGTTATGGTGATTTGAACATATGAATTTGTAACCTTTAATAATCCGAGCCTCGATTATCTTATTTGTCTCTTCCTAATCAATTCGCACCTTCGCACAATCATAAAGTCGTAGCTTCGATAATTTGTCTTCGTCGAAACCGACTCGATCTCTTTAGCTTAACTGCTTCGAAAATCTGCCAACAAGTAAATTTATAACAATCAATCTGGAATCAGGTAGAATGATTTCAGTCAGAGCCGTAGTATATTCACATGTGTATAAGAAAAGTGATTCTCTCACATTTAGCTGGATCAAGCATAACATATTCTATATGCTCATCTGCCGCAATATCGTTCATATCGTTCAGAGAACGTGCAGTACATTACCGGTAGCTATATCACCCCTCATAACCTCACATTTATAATAGTATAAGCCTTCATACCACTAAAGAATTTGAATAAAGATGGATTCTAACTCTAGATAAAAGTTGTGAGTATGCAATGTGATGGCGATAATACTGGATCCTCCGAGTATTGGTTGTGTAGCCGGCGTAATTAGGTAAATGTTTGGTCACGGAATACTACATATTGTACTTAAGCCAATGACTCTCTAGTAGATCGATCTTCTCTCTGACCCAGGCCACACCTTGTACACTGATCTTATCCTCTTTTTTTACTTCTAAGATCATTGATATATTGCCCGTGATGTATAGCCATTCGTCTCATGAGCTAACCATAGAATTCAGCCACATTTTCCACGGAACCCTCAATCCAAAAAAGGAGTGCCCACATCCGTCTATATTTCCCTTCTTTGTCACATT